AACCATTGCGTGGCGTGGCGGGTTGTAAAATTCTGTGTCTAACTTGGATTGTAATCTACATTGGCATGGCGATAAGGGCAAGCTTTCCGAGGGCGCATACGCTTTCAAACGCCAATGGACTGACTTGTTCCAGCGCCATGAATACTGCCGAAAGGTATGCACATCTCACATTTGCAGCACATTGTCCTCGAGCAAATGTATATATAGAACAAGATGCATTATATTAGATACTCGCCCACTTACTCACTCAGTGGTACTGATGTTGCCTAAAACAAAAACCTGGCGGGCGTGAAAAGGGATTGGCAAGAAGGGTGAGAGTGACTATATACGTACGAAGATCCTCACTACCTTTACGATTTACGAGCCTCGGAGGACCTGAAGACGCTAATGCACCGCACACTTATCCATCCGAATGTCGTTCTAGCGTTAACTAGAGACAAATAAAACGCCTTTTTCTTGCCCCAGATGGCCGGAGAAAGAGGACCAAAGACGTCAGAGCCTTCTAGCACGAGGTTGACACAATTCAACTCGACATGCGCCCCCGCGTTCGACAGCCATCATTCGAAGCAAGGAAAAATTCAACCTTTGCAACCACCCGTGGGCAAGCGATTTCATCTAAAATGACGTACAGATTGTCGGTCTAAGAAATTTCCGTAAATACTAACAAACGTATTTGAGTATAGAAAATGGATACATAGATAGATAGATAGATAAGCATTGCGAAGTACTTTAATTAAATCCCGGCTGCGCAAGAGAAGTTTGCCACATTATATAGGCAGTTCGGCGTATGTTACCTGAGTATGGCAAGCTGAAGCGTCGTTTCTACTTGAACTATTATTGTTACTATGATTACGTGTGTATGCGAGTAAAAAGATTACACCCCTGATAATCTAGCTTCTATTATTTTGCAAGGTTTTTTTTTTGATTTTCGATTAGCGCATCCTCTAGGCATTCCTAAGATTATGTACGCATGCCTGCATCTGCGCATGCCAAACACACCTTAAGTGAGTGAAGTTCTTCGCTTATACATATACTTTTGCGCCATCCGTGAGCTTCCACGTTTCTATCGGCCTATTCGCGAAGGCCACAATGTACAGCGGGTTGACGGTGATGACGCCAACCAACTATCCAGCTAGCCAAGTAGGCCGAAGCAGCACGAAAGGTAACACATATTATACAAGTGATTATTAATACAGTTTGTCTGCAGCCCGCATTCGGAAAGTTTCTTTCCTTGTATTTAACCAACGAATAGCAGGTTTATGCCGGCATCGGGGTCTCGCAAACCTTTTATGTTGCTTTCGCAGCAGATACGAATAGATTTGTTCGACCGGTTCGTCACCTCACCAGGCTACATACGCCTTAGCTCCGATGTCTCAAGTCGCTTGAGCGAACCCTATAAGGTTCTCACCGGTAGGCAGTTTGACAAAATTCCGTCCTAGCCTGTGGTGGTTGATGGTAATTAGCTGGCATATGTGAGTGTACGCACTTTTGGACTATTACTTTAGTCCATTCAAGTTTTACTGTGAAAAAGATCTGTGGTGCAAAAAAACCGCTAGTCCTGTCGAACGCTGCCGGAGCGCGTCGGGCACACGGGTAGTTCGGGAAGTAGAGACCTCGCTTAGCAACACTACAAGAGTTAATCGCCCAAATATCAAAAAGTATCTCACGTGCTTGTATGAAACATGAAATAATTTGAAATTATATTTAGCTTTTTCCGCGTTTATTGGCCAGCTTTACTGAAGTTCCTTTTTTATCTGAATTATATAGGGAAAATCTAATTTCCCAGAACTCTTATCACACAAAGAAATACATTAATATCACAGTAACAACCAACTTTTGATTCATTTTTCTAGACGAAAATTCAGGTATACCAAAAGATAGAACCGGATTTTGCTTGTTAGCCTATATAGTCAGTCTGCGAGCATAGTGATATGATAATTACGTTAATAATAAGATAAATAAATATAGAAAAAACGACTAATGCGGGACTTATAACTACGACGAGATGACAATTTTATGAAATATTATTAGTAATCAAGGCGACCGTCGATCTCCACACTTTGATCACTCTTTCAATTCGATCGGAGCAGGTATTCTATTAGGTCCATCCGAGTAAGTACCTATTTTATCTGTTTCTTTTTTTCTAGTCGTCGTTCGCGCTCTAATCAATTTTATTTCACTTGCCCTAGAATCAATTTTCCTGCACACGACCGCCGACCGATTCGCTACGAACTACACAATATATGATACGTGCATTGACGCGTACCAACTGGACTGCTGCCTTTGTTTATTTCTCTTTTTTGATGCCAACCGTGGTTCGCTCCTGGTGACCCGACCGGTATTTTCAACGACATTTCGAGAACTAAGTGACCACATTATACGGATCTGCTCACGTTGTTGCTACTGTTGACGGGAGTGGCGCGATCAGAATCAACCATCAGTGACGTCTGAATTTCATGACAAAAACGCTGATCAACACACACATAGACCAACTCCTCTGGTTGGTTTCGGGTACGGCACGGCATACGGTAGAGCGCTCTCAAGGCACAATAATCATTCGTTTTTTTGGTAACTCAATTGACGCCTGCTGAAGTGACCAAGCGGGTTCTCGATTGATGATACGTCTCCGGCTGAAGGCTTCGTCTGGGCGTCAATGCACAGCTCGGCTTGTGTTCTATTGCACCTTTCTTCCCACACTAACACTGACACATGCGCGTTTTTTAGTTAACTGTGTCTCTCCCTTTCGGATGATCTTTTTTTTTTTATTTTTCTGCGACGCTTGTAAACAATGTGTATCATGACGACGCAGATCAATCACTGACCTATCTAAAGAGCAGCACCAGAAATAGCCTCTTTTTTCAGCCTTGCGCAATCCTTGCTGAAAGCTCGCAATGATGAGGTGCGGTCACGTGCTTCATTTTTTAGCAGACAATGCTGGCCTTGTCCACCTAATCATCAGCTGTCGTTCTATACTGTGAAGGGAAAGGCAAGCGTCTATTTATATACATGTGCCTGAGTGAATTGAAAGGAATGAGACTGATAGCCTGTTTTCGTCGTATGTTTCTCAGAATCTGTATGTATCAAGTGTGCATTATCCGGATCTCCTCTACCAGCAAAACAAATAATTATAATCAATAGTAGTCAGCCTCCGCTGCCTATTTTTGTGCACACCACTCGTTGGTACCTCTGCTATCCGACTAGTGGGGAATTACAAAAGTTTGCTGAAAGTGGACTGGGGTAGGATTTGATGCTTAACAATATGCTTATCTATGTGGAAGCAGGGTATTTGAAGAAAGGAAACGAAGAAAATAAAAGCGAACGGTTTATTCTATCTATACTCCGATCTAGCAGTACTAGTATTCTGATCTAGTCGTGTGACACTTGGTTGAAGGGAAGGGGGGCCCTTTTTTCCAAGCTAATAAATACTATTAATTCAAATTAATAAGAGTTGGGGCACTGAAGGAGATATTACGGTTGTCCACTGTTGGACAGAGGGAGTTCCGCTAAAACAATTCATCTCGGTTAAATCGGTACCCCCTGTCGCTCCCACAACTGCATCTTTGTGATCAGTCGTTTGCTTAATGTAGGTGAGGCCCGAGATGCTTCAGTCAGTGAAAAGACTGACTTACAAAGCAAAACGCCGCCAATTCATTGAGTCTCTAGAGGGTTTGAGTGACCATGGAAAGAAACTTGGACTAACAAGAGAAACTAGTAGTTGACATGGCACAATGGTATCAGATATAAAAACCGGTGGATTAAAATGGGACGCGTCAAACAGCCAAATTAGAGCCTGAACTTTTGCATCATATCAAAATAAGTAAAAAAACACCCTAGGACCCACAAAAAAAAATAGTAAATATTTACGTAAGTTTGAAATAACATCGGTTTTTTTTTTTTAAATCGTTACTATTATCACAGGCTAGATTCTGTGTAATTACGATTTGGATCGAAAGACACTATCTGCCATAAACCGTTGAGTAAATCTCTGGACTTTGACTTCATTGGTATTAGACTTTCCGGCCCTGTAATATAGCCAAGCCAACGCTGGACGGACCGCACGCTGCTAGCCAACGTGCATAAATGTCATCGAAGATCAGTGAAACGACAAACCTCCTCTTGTCTTAGTTTGTTGGTTACGAAGACTCTAACGGGATCATAAGGTTACAACAAACAATCGAACACAACATTTTCTATGTGGTAGGGAATGAATTCCGCATACGCATATATTAATGGGTGCCATTATGCACAGCCCGATCAAGCAAAAGTACCCTGCTTTAGATCAATGTCCATTGCGCGCATCTGTGCTTTGCAGAGGACGTCAAATCGTAGCACGTGCTTGTAACGTGAATACTATTCAGACCGAAGTTGATAGTTGTTTGTTAAAGTCACATAAATATTCATCCAGGCACGATAACCTCTGAACAAAGGAATGATTACTAGGTACCAACTCATGCTTCCATGTTAAAGTTACACCCGTCGTTCATACCACTCCTGACTCGATAAACGATGCTTCATTTACATAAGCACTTCAGAAGCTCTTCATTGTAGCTGTTTGCTTTTAATTGATAGTTTACCCGATGTTGGGTGCACGTTTGTGTCGTATGTGCCAATGTCAAGGCGATTAGTTTTGTTGGAGGCTTTATGCGTCCTAAAAAAGTCGTTGACGAAGATCACTTGCCTATTTAGGCCTTACTACGCTCCTTAGTTTGTGGGGAAAAAAAATCTCAATTCATTATTTTCAACTCGGTGTCAAATTTGATTTTATTTTTTGTTTTTAAACAATAAACATCCATACTCTATAATTAATTAGCTGCTTTATACCGATTTTAATAGTCGTTTTGTATGGTACCACTGTTCGTATTTCAGTTGCTATATAT